CCTTGTCCTGAAATCAAATATATACTGAAGTACCAGGGGGAGTTGCATTTGGCTCATTTATACCTATGTGACCAACTTAAAAACAACGTGTTGGCACACTGGGTGCCTATAAATGGTGAATAAGTTTCAGAGGGAGTAGGGAAATACAAAATTATTGAGGCTGCTGTGAGACAACAAGCAGAAATACCACCCTTTATTCAAGAGGGGCTAAAGTCACTAAACATTATTAATCTTACACAAGATCTGTGTCACCCTCACCTTTTGCTGAGAATAAGTGCTTTTTAGCCCTTTCCTTCCCACCTTTTCCCAAAGATCCCAGTTGTCTCTGTGTCTTGCCATTGATCTCAGTGGACAACTCCAGCCCCACCCACTCAGGGTTTTCAAAGGTTGCTTTCCCCCAGTCATCCATTCTCTTGTTTCCCAGCAAAGTTGTAACCCCTAAGATTTGGCTCAGTTAAGGACAGCCAAGGTTTTTGTGTCTCCATGGAAGACACTCCTGAATATTCCTTTGAATGAACTCTCAAAGTGGCTTTGTCAAACCTTCCTCAAGTTTAAGATAAGTTTATATAATTCACGGTGAGAATGTTTGAGGCCATTACAAGAAGTTTTGACTTGTTTGCTTTAAAAGCTAATTCAAACTAACATACTTAAACATCCCTTCGTAAACACGTTCTATAGTTAACTTCTTACTCAGGACACAACTGCAGATGAGTGGCCCAGTTAATAAAATCCTGCCTCGTTGAAAGTGGCTCCTTGTGTGGCTCCAGTTTCTTCCCATGTGACACGTACCTACATCTGTGACATCCCCACACTTCAGCACACAAGGAAGCAGAGCCTGTAGCTGCTTTCCCAGCGCTCATGTGCTGAGGTTATTGGCAGAACTCTACTGACAGAGCATGTAGAGAATGTACCAAACCACATTTAAAAGTGTGACATGAAATTCAAAAGCAGCCAGGGGAATTACAACACTCTGCAGCAGGATAAGATGCTAAAGGAGCATGAAACACATGCTATGCTTAATGTGATTTTTTTTTTTTTATAAGGCTGCTTCCTTTCCAAGCTTGCCAAGGAGTACATCGTGCTGTCAGAGTACAACCTCAGACATGAGCAGCCGTGGCAAGAGTGGTGAGATGGATACAGAGCCAGAGCCAGCACAGTTTATGCCTCTGCCTAGATAAGGGAGTCAGGTGAGCACCAGCTATAGCAAAACACACAGAATCTCTCAACACACAGAGAGATGAAGAACAGAAGTGTTATTCCAGGTGCAGAGGATCTCCAACCCTGGATGTTACTGATAATGTAAGGAGAAGGAAGATAAGGAGGTTGAAGGCTTCAGGTGAGAGAGTGTCCCTGGGATAACCAGAGCTGGAAAACGAGGTATCAATATTTACTTGGCAAAATGGCACATGGCTCGGAAAGCCAGTAGATGGGGAATGAGAGATTGCTTGGATGGTGCACAGAGAAGCCAGCAGGGACTGGACCAACAATATAATAGGGTCTGCACACACACAAGGGACAGGAGAGTCACTGTCATGTTGGATTTATAATTTTAAACAGATATGATGAAATAAAAGTGGGAGAAGATATAAGGGGGAAAGGTGGCCCAGGACTACATAACAGATCAGTGCAGGAGCTGGGAATTGATTCCTGAGACTCACAGTCCTTAGCCCATTACAACAAAAACCACTGAACACGAGGGGTCTCTCTCTTTGCTATTATCCTCAAGGTTTGGGGTTATGTATGTATTTATTTATTTACCAAACAGGGAGGAATGACAAACAGAATGAGAAACGCAGAGTGCACAAGAAAGCTCATAAAATCCTTTTCATATCTTTAATCAATCACGACTAGTGTGTCTCCCATACATTTTTCTCAGTTTAAAATAGAATAAAGATGTCCCCTCACATCATAATCTGTCTCCAGGCAGCTGTGCTCCTTACATCAGCACAATGACCCAAACTGCATGGCTGTATTAACAGATACGATCTAGGCTTTAATGGAGTTCAGCAACTGGGATTAGCTCCCTGTAATGTAGTTTGGGCTTTCAGGCACTATATGGAACTGCTAACACATTACAAGTTATAGGCATCAATTCTTTCTAAGTGAGAAGCCATTTCAAATTCAAAACACTTCAGACCTAATAACAGGAAATTATCTTGATGGATCCCCTTCAACGTGGAAAAAAAGAGATGAGGAGAGAGGGTCAGGAGTCCAATCAAAACAAAATCGTATCAAGGCTTTTTTTTTTTTTCTCCCTCCAGAGCAAAGCAGAAGTGTGAATTTAGATGTCAGGGAGGGAACAAATTGTGGAAATGTGAGGCAGAATGAGAAAGAAAGTTTGAAACCTACATTATAACAGGAGAAAGGGAAAGTTTACCTGGCTGCTTAGTCAGTGTGTGCCAGAAGCATCAGTCTGACCCAGCAGGGATTTCTCCTCTAAGAAAAGTTTGAAAAGGCCCTTGCAGTTCCTTAGGGTATTTTTCCAAATGGACCTGAGTTAGAAGTTAGTTAGTTTTCATAAAATTATAGAATAGTTCAAGTTGGAAGGGATCTGAAAAGTTATCTTGTTCTGCCATGGATAGGGACACCTTCTACTAGCCCAGGTTGCTCCAAGCCCCATCCAACCTGGCCTTGGACGTTTCCAGGGATGGGGCAGCCACAGCTTCTCTGAGGAACCTGTGCCAGGGCCTCACCACTCTTTTTTGTTTTCCTTAACTTTCATATTTTGAAGATGCCCAAAGTGAACATCCTCAATGAGACCTGATTTTTCAGCTCAGAGGACACTCGGTGCCTCATGAAAAGCAGGTCCTTCTCAAAATCCCCTTTTTTCGAGTACACATTTAGAGTACACTCTCCAGAAGTGTGCACAGTGTCTGAAAATATTGTCCATTTCCTCCTTCGACCCCTAGCAATGGTCCAGGGCTAGAAAATCCAGGAGAAGAGGAAGGGTCAGAGTCCCAGTGGTGAATGCTGAGAAGCTGAGCCATTGATGAGCTGTGTGCTATAATTCATCATTTTTGAACCTAGCTTGCCTAAAAGCTTTCTGTGGTGTCAAGCTGAGTCATTTCTGCCCCTGAAAGAGCAGACGAGGGAGGAGAACTTTATTTCATCTCTCAGCACTGTGGCCATGCACCAATCCTGCCACTGTCCCATTTTCTCCACACCTGTCTGTCCCTCTCGTCCCAGGCACGTGCATTGGCCAAGCCACCATCTGACATCCCAGAGAGAACAAAGCTCCCCTGAGCTGGCAAAAGAGTCCCCCAAGGAAAAGAAAAAGGACTGTAAACAAATTGAAAGCAAGACAGACAAACCAAAAGGCAGATTTTCCTTTTAACACTTTTTTTTTTGGAAGAGGAAGGGAGGGAAGTCCCTTATGGCCAGAAAGCCACACTTCCGTGGATTTGGAGCTCAAGTCAGAAGCCCAGGGAAAAGACAGCTCTTCACCAGTGGTCAGGAGGGACTGCAAACACAACGAAGCATCTTGTAGAAAAAACAGCACAGGGTAGTCAGTAGGGACTGGCTCATTAGTCACAGAGCATCCACACATGCTGATGGCTGAAGGCAAAATATGACCTTAAGTTCCATTATCACACCAAACACAGCATCTGTCATTGCAGGGGGAGAACAAGAGAGAGGGAATGTACTGCATGGCAGGTGAGGGATGAGGCTTTGATGGCAGCAAGATGTCACAGCAGCCATAAGGGTGCATGTTCTTGGTTTAGCATCCCTGTAGGGGTGTGAGCTCAGACCTGGGACTGTGCCAGGTGCTGGGTAAGGGCACTCTGGAATAAACGTGCTCTGCTCCAAAGAGCTTTCTCCCTAAATATCTAAACTCTCCCAGTGGATGAATATCAACAGAAAAGACAGTCCAAGGCAGCAGTGTGATGACAATAAAGCTGCTGGATATCCAACTCTTCCTGAAAAAGCCAAAGCAGAAGCCAGCCCTGGCTATGGAGGGAAGGGAGTGTTTCACAAAGAGCAAAGCATCCAGTCCACTGAGAACTGAGAGTGCTCTCAAAGTCCCTGAAAACACTGTCTCCACACCCATGGAAGGTCATATTTGTCTTCATGCACAGGGTGAGCCCTGAATGCTGGTGTGTTCAAAAAAGAGAGTGTGGCTGAAGTGATGGGAAAGGCTGTGTGCTGGAATCATGCATAAAAATCAGCTTCATGTGCAACTGTGTTGTCTATTCCCTGGGTTCACATCTCACCTGAATGAGTCTGACTTTCTCCCAGCACCCAGAAAGAAATTAAAGTGCTAAACATCCTATGGCTTTCCATGAGATGACCCCAAACTTGTTTTCTTTTTGCCTGAGGAAAACAAGGACATTTTTTCTATTTGAAATCATATCTAGAGTAAGATTTCTCAAAGCTCTCTGGGGCCAAGGTTGCTAGATCAGATCAGCTTTTGGTCTGTTGACCAGATGAGCAGAGCTCTGTTCAAGTGCTCCCAGGGCTGCAGATGTCAAGTTCTCTAACACACATTCAACCCCTCCATTTCCTTACTTAGAGACTAAATGCATCAATATAATAAAAGTGTAATAATGAATGAAGTTATAAATACTGGTTTAGCCTAACACAGTGAATCCCAAAGTGCCAAGGAAGGATTTGGAAAGACTTGCTCTCAAGTTTTCTCATCAGTAACATCTGAATGTCTCTTTTCTGGTCTTGGCATGTTTTACATCTGTTTTGAGGGCTTCTAATAAGGAAGAGCAGGTTTTAATGGGAACCACTGGCCTCCTGCCTCCAGGAAGATACTGTTAGGGTTGGCTCAAATGAAGAAGGATCATCAACATGTTCTCAGAGCTTCTTGCTTTGGCACTGAGGAAGATTTAGCACGTCCCTATATCCATTTCCTCCGCAGCTCTAATCTTAACACCCACCCACTGCATGCGAAATGAACATCCCAGCGCTTCATAATGGGGACAGGAAATTAATTCCTCATAAAGGGCCTTTTTTTTTTTTTTTCTACCCCTCTTATTAAGACTCCTCAGCCCTGTCAACAGCCAACTGAGCTTCCACAAGTCATAAAGGTGCATTTCTGCAGTCTCATTTCCTCAAGTCTCTCCCTTGATGGATGATGCCCATTAATAACCTTCAGGTTGGGCTGCTGGGGATTCGAGGGACCTCGTGGGACACGGGAACCCTGACCCTTTAGGGTGGCACTCAGGAAAGTGGTGGCACAAAGCAGGGGGCTGATGACATGAATCTGCTTTGCTCAGTCCCTATTAGAGGCAGCAACTATAGAAAAAAAGACCCTCCCTGGCCTTCCTGACCAAGGATTCCTGTGGAAACCCTCAGAGCTGGACCACCACCCCGAGGAGAACAACATCTGAAACAAAGTCCTTGGTTCTGGAATCTGATGTAACTTTTACATTTCCACATCTTTAGCACCCACTAAGTGGATGTATCCATGATTTCAGGAAACAGAATGTCCAGGATAAGATTTTAAGAGGAAAAAGTCCATGAGGTATCTAAAAATAATCTCCTTTCTTGACATATAAATTAGCCAAAAGGCGCAAAGTCCCTACATTTTTTATAATAATTTTTCTCTCCAACTCATAATCTGTTGGGAAATATATATTTATTTTTTTTGGTGGATGTGACTAATCTTTAATTATAAAGAATATCATTTTAATGGGAACATTAAAATGGACCAAGTCACATCAAAATGTCAGACCTGGTTTAAAACTGTGCTGTTTCACCCAGACTTGAGCTCAGCAGCATCATACAAGCAGACATGATGTTTAGAGAGATGGATCCTAAAACAGCAGGCGAAATTCTTGTGAAATGAAAATGGATCATCTCCGTGAGATGTGGATTTGGAAGCAGCAGAGTGAGAATTTGGAGCTGATATCAAAAGCTGGAGGGGCAGTGTAAAATAAACACACAGATTGCATCCCCAATTTTGGTAGAAACCTTTTTGATGTAGCTATCAAAAATAAAAGCACAAGACCAATTCAATGATCTCGAAACTAGGGAAAATATCCCGGGAACATGATGTTTGGAACTTTCCTCAGTTCCCTTTTCAAAATGTTATGTAACATTTAACTTTGAATTTTCACAGACCTACACCATGTAAACTATGGAACAGCAGCATAATGTGGCTCTTCACAGGATTTTAAAGCTTTTCAAGCAGGCCTAGATGAAATGTTCTGTAGAAAAGTACAGTTATGCCGTGGTTGCCTAGCAAATGTCTGTGAGAAAGTGTTTCTCTTTAAGGAGAAAAACAAATTAAATATAAACCTTCTGCAAGGCCATGCTCCCCGGGGACAGTAGATTTCTGTA